TGGGTGTGTACATTACTTTCAACAATAGTATTAGTCAAAATATTTAGCATTCTAGCGCCAAATAAAAGATATTTTAATCAATTTAAAATTAGTAAATATAGTATTACCTAGCCGTATGGTGGAGATATCTTAGCGCATCTTAACACTTTAGTTAAATAATAAAAGGAACCCTTTAATTTTAAGCACAACCACCATACCTCTCTGCTGATCCCGCTCTCTTCTTCTTCATTCGTGCTCTTCTTTTACTTCTATTGTTTATATGTTGTAGTGTTGCCAGCTGGATCGTACTTGACACTGGGTTTATAACGTCAATCAAATTGTGCACCCACAAAACTGTGATAAGACTGATTGCAACCTCTGGTACTGAAATTTGGCAATGATATCTCCTGACAAGGACTAGCTGCTAATATTTATAAATAATAGTTTTTAGGAATATTTGCTGTGCAATCATGACAAATATGAAGACCACTCTTCACAATGTAGTAATTAAGCCGACAGAATGAAAAATTTTTATAGCATACTATGTATAATGGATATGACTAGCCCACAGAAATATATTTCTGACTACAGTCTAGCAAATATCAAACAGAGAGTGTGATCAAAAATACGTTAATCATCTCTCTTGGTATTTCTAGTTTCTCAGAAAGGTTTTAATTACAGATGGTTGAGCAAGATTGTACAGGAAGGTGATATAAAATTTTGGTTGTGACGCAAAGTGATGATGATAACGAAACTAGCGTGATTATATTGCAAACAGAGAGTGTGATCAAAAATACGTTAATCATCTCTCTTGGTATTTCTAGATTCTCAGAGAGGTTTTAATTACAGATGGTTGAGCAAGATTGTACAGGAAGGTGATATAAAATTTTGGTTGTGACGCAAAGTGATGATGATAATGAAACTAGCGTGATTATATTGCAAACAGAGTGATTAAAAATATGTTAATCATCTCTCTTGGTATTTCTAGTTTCTCAGAATGATTTTAATTACAGATGGTTGAGCAAGATTGTACAGGAAGGTGATATAAAATTTTGGTTGTGACGCAAAGTGATGATGATAATGAAACTAGCGTGATTATATTGCAAACAGAGTGATTAAAAATATGTTAATCATCTCTCTTGGTATTTCTAGTTTCTCAGAATGATTTTAATTACAGATGGTTGAGCAAGATTGTACAGGAAGGTGATTTAAAATTTTGGTTGTGACGCAAAGTGATGATGATAACGAAACTAGCGTGTAAGTTTTTTGTAATAGTTCTTCAAATTATATCGTATATAATTTTAAATATCAAGAATTAATTTACAAAAACTAATTACTTCTTCAAAACATTTAACATGCTTGGCAATTTGAATAAAAATATAGTATGCAGTATCTTGCTGCTTTGATTCAAGTAGTATTTTGTTTTTATATAT